AATGATCTGAAAGACCTTTGCATATTTCTGCTCATCAGTGAATGATGCTTGAATAGCCTCCTTAGCCCTTTCTATAGCTTCATAGAGGTAGCACATTGGTGGTTTTTGCTTCCCATCCACCAAACAGAGTACTTTAACCAAAGGGCCACCAATTTTAAGAGCATGAATGACATTATTCCAAAAAGAATAAGAAAGAATAATGCGTGTAACATCTTTCCCCGCACTTTCCTTTACAAATTTACTCTTGCTCCATTCCTCTGAAGTGAACAACTTTCTCAAATTGGATTTTTGCAAGTGGATACTATGCAAAGTCAAGAAAGCAGTGGCGAACCTTGTCTTGCCCGGTTTCACCAATTTTTTTGTCTGATGAATCTTCTCATCATATTCAATAACAAGGGCCGCTGAGAAATATAAGAATGTACCCTAACGCCCTGGCCAAAAACTGTAGAGAAGGGTTTTTCCTTGAAAATGTCCCCGAATATTAAGTTGATACAATGAGCCGCACATGGAGTCCAATAGAGATTCTTGTACGCTCCTTCCACCATGCCACCCGCTTTCACATTTTCACTCGCATTATCAGTGACCACTTGAACAACTTTGCTTGGGCCAATCTTTTCAATGGTGTTCTGAAACAATGTGAACATTTTGATGTGGTCAGTGGATGAGTCGCTAGCATCAGTGGACTCAAAAAACAAACTTCCCTTGGGAGAATTCACCAACACATTAATAATCATTTTCCTAGTTCTTGTCGTCCACTTATCCATCATAATGGAGCAGCCATACTTGTTCCACACAACTTTATGTTCCTTCACAATTTTATTAGTCTCCTCCACTTCCTTATTTAGATAAGGACCTCTGATTTCATGATAAGTGGGAGGCTTCATTCCAGCTCCGTATTGACCAACGACCTCAATAAAGTCTCCAAAAGTGTCAGTATAGTTGACACAATTGAAGGGGAGCCCATCATCATAGACCCATCGTGCAAAAGCTCTAACTGAACGATAGCAATTTTTTGTACATCTTTTCCACCGCTCTTTCCTTCCGGCTTCTTTGGGAAATAGCAATCTATAGGACCTTTAGTCCTACTCGTACCCGTCGATCCATGGCTTGAAGAGATTGCATCTCTTCCCTGTTTTGTTGGAAGTGACAATTCTTCAATATCATCATCATCGTCATCAAGATTGGTCACCAATGGTTGATGACTCATTTGATTTTTTTGCTCCTTCTTCTTTTCAACAAAATTCTTTATTTCATCCCTCACCTCCGGTGGACATTTCGGACAACTTGTGACGTTTCTATCGCCACCAATAAGATGGAATTTAAAGCGATAAATTCCACCCGTTGTAATCTTGTTACAAAACTTGCATACAACATTTGTATTCTTCTCATTAACTCTATCGCCATATCGCCAAGCCGGGTCTTTATCTTTCGATCTTTGAGACATTTTGAAATCCCTATTAAGATATAAGAAAATACATAATCAAATAAACTGAAAATACATATAATATATATAATAATTAATTTTATAAACCGAAATACACATTAAAAAAATCAAATAAACTAAAATATAACATATATAATTTTCTAAAATGAAATACATATAAAATTAATCAAAGAAACTGAAAATATAACATATATATAATAATTAATTTTATAAACTAAAATATAAATAAGAAGAATAAAAGGGGAAAAAAAAATAGAATCTGGACGGGTTAGAGATAAAAGGAAGAAGAAGAAGAAGACGCAGAAGTCTGAACAGTGTGCAAACTGGACTGTCAGAGATAAACAAAGAAGAAGGAAGAAAGAAGGAAAAAAAAAAAAAAAAAAAGCAGAATCTGGACGGGAACAAGAAGAAAGAAAGAAGAAAGAAAAAAAAGAGAAGAAGAAAGGAGAAGAAGAAAATTACCAGGACTGGTCAGCAATGTCGATGAAATTGAACCCTAGGCTTTGGTCGACGTCGATTGAAGAAGAAAGAAGAAGAAATGGTCAGTTTTTGTCGATTTAGGGTCTGTTTTGTATAATAAAAAAACAGACCCAAAGTTTTTTTTATTTTAAAAAAGGGCCCTCTGCCCTTTTTTAACGGAAGCGATCGCTTCATCGATTCCTCCATTGAAGCGTGCGCTTCCCTCGGTCGAGTCGCCTCAGGCAGCTAGAAGCGACACTGGGTCGCGTCGCGTCGCTTCGCGCTTAAAGCGACGAAGCGATCGCTTTTCTAAACACTGATCTAGCCTCACTTCAATGTAAGGGATGGATAAATTTTCCGTCACTGTTTTGAACATCTTTCAGATCTCCTCTGAAAATCACGTTGTAGAAGATAGAAAAGAGTTCGTCTCTTCTAAGGCGTGTGGTTCATTGGAGGTGTGAGACGTTTTGTGGTGAGATTGATGATATTATAGGTGTACTCTTGAGAAACTCTTTTTAATCAGAGGAACAAATGCTTCTTCATATTAGGTTCAAGGGTTTGAATATATGAAACCTTTGTTTTAACAATACTGTTCTGTAGGATCTGTTGGTAACAACAACAACAACAACATACCCAGTATTATCCTACACCATGGGGTATGGGGAGGGTAGTGTGTACGTAGACCTTACCCCTACCTTGTGAGGACAGAGAGGATGTTTCCAATAAACTGTAGGATCTGTTGGTAAGACTCGTATATATGAACAAAATTCTTTAAGGAGCCAGTTTGCCGTTCAAGGGCCAACTAATGTATATTTCATGCTGTATGGATTGCCTCTATCAATAATACATTTCTGAAGTGACTAACATAATACCAAGTTCATGTGTAGAGTTTGAAGCAGCAAGTACAAGGTATACACGATTTGATTGATCTTGCTGGCAGAGTGATATTTTCAAATATGCAGTCCAAGAAGACAAATTGATGGGGCATAGCACTTTTTTCCCTGTTATATCCATTTTTAAGTGTCTTTCTGTTTCAACCTCTTCTGTTTATTATGTTTAAAATATAACAAAAAAAATTTAGCTCTCAGTAATTGAACTTTGCTTTGCACAGAACTCAGAAGCAACAAATTCTATTATTCTTTTGTCTGCATTAATGGCATTGCACTGTACCTAGTAGCCATAGTAGATAAACAAATATGGTTTTGATCACTTCACTAGTTGATGCTGAGTCTACACTCCACATATATAAGCAAGTAATTCACCGGTAAGAGAGACGATATCCTGAAATGATGTATATAATTGCCATATGAAGGGATTACATTATACAAGCAAGAAGGAAAGTAGAGGGTTGGCTCCAAACGGGATTTCTCCAGTCTTAATAAAATAGTATTAGTAGTTATATATTATTCTCTAAAATGACAAGATATACATCCCAAATTCCGGAAATAAAACATATATGTATTGATATCCAAAGTCGTCATTTTGATCATTTCGTGTTCTTTAATCAAGTAGCTAGCAATTTATTTCCAAAACGTCAATAAGCTAGGCTTGAGCAAATAAAGTATAAGGTATATAATACCACATGAGAATGAATTGGAAAGAAAAGATACATCATTTGAACGAATGCTTTAACGATCAATACACATTTAGAACTGTCAAATTACTACTACTATATAGAAGCCGCTTGGGAAGCAGGTCAGGGTCGTCATACCTGCTTGCTGATCAGGGGACACTTTTGTCATTTCAAGATGATTTTGCTTTAGGGATATTGTACTAGATTGTTTTATGTGTGTACTTTGTCTGTATTTGACAAAAGAACCAGATAATTACTTTACTACATGTGGGTCCCATAACTGCTTGCGCCTACTCTATATGCAGCCTTTTGAATTTTTGACAGCCACATGACTGTTTTACTGACAGTTTATTTTCTCTCTCAGTCTTAGCTATTTTGGCAAGCACATGACTATTTCGTTGTGTCCAACAATACATATCAAAGTTAGTACAGGGATTGTGAGGAACAATTATGTTAACTCTGTTATAAATTCTTTGCTATACAACTTTGTTTGATACTATAATAAATTGTAGTAATACATTGCGATCGTTTTTCTTTCAGTTCACGATCTGCTCGCCTAAAAATAGTAGCCCAATAAATTCTATTTCATCTTTTAAGATCAACAAAGAAAATTCGATCTCAAGTCTTATTATTTTGTATGGATTTCTATACAAATTTATTTGGCTGAAACTGTGAGAGTATATGAAAGAAAATATGTTTAGTATTCTAGAAGATAAATTAATTATTTTCAGCGCAAAACTTGAATTTTAACTGAATTTCTATGCCAAAACTAACATTCAATAATATATGACTAATGTATCATTTCGGATGAAGATGAGAATCAACTCTTATCGTAGAAAACTCATTAATTTAGTTAGTTGATCATATAAGGTTTAAATTTCAGCAAACAAAATCCTAATATTATTACTCCATCCGTTTCAAAAAGAATGAACCTATTCTTTGACCATATATTTTGTAAATAGTGTTAAATATTTTGAGTCGTTAACTATTGTGACTTAAATTACTTTTTTACTTAGTTTTTAAATATGTAAGTTTTATTTCAAACAACTTAAAGAATTTATGTCCAAATTCACATTAAAAATTAGTCAATTTATTTCGAAATGCTTCAAACAAATTGAAACAAAGGGTGTATGAGTTTTCTTGTTCCAAAAGAAGAAAGTCATACTTGGTATCGTTTTTCTGATTTTGTTAAACTTGAAGTATAAATATAGATGTATGGATAAAGCAAATAGATTTATTTAAGTTTAGCAATAGAAAGCTTTTTATGAAGACGTCAATTCGAAGGTATCCAACGAAATTGTAGCGGTGAACACGTCGAGCTTCTAAACCAAATGTGTTGTGACCCTTTCGTTGTCATTTGAGGGTGCTAATCTTTGCACTAATACTGTGTAGTACTTGGATGTCCAAAAGTGAAGTAGTTATATTTAGTAGACAAATTGACATTTTATTAGTAGTAATTATTAATATATTAAATTTTAATTATTTAAAACCATAGACAGGTTTTATGTTATGCATCGTATATCTTAATTTTAATATGAATAAACAAACAATTGATAATTAACATAATAGTTTTCTTATTATCATATTTATCTTACTATAATTCACATAAAATTTGGTAGCAAACCAAAATATCTTAATTGCTTTAACTTGAGAATCTTTTCGACGAAAAATGTCACAATTCATTGCAATCAGATATTAATTAAAAAATATTTCACGTTAAATTTGACTTTACAATTCTAACCGTCAGTGAACTTATCGCACAAAGGTAGATTTCACATGAAGCCCCAGTTATTACAGTTACGCAAAAACCAGTCTTACTTGAAAATTTGAGATAACATAACAAAATCATATTCTTCTTTTACTATCCTGGGCCAAAAACATATTTGGTTTTTATATATTTGAGATGTAATTATAAATGAGAAACTCTAAAAACTTTAATACCTTAATTTTTTTCCTAAAAATGTATCTGCATTTTACGAGTACAATAAAAAGTAAAACACAAATTATTGGGCCCGTGCAATTGCATCTAGTATTTATACAAGCCCACAAGTTTCATCTAAACAGAGGGAGAAAACGAGTGCATGAAATTAAAATACGACGTAATTTGTACAACACTTCGCAAAATTTGATAGAAACCCAACCCTTTTTAGATCAATCACAAATTCTATTGGATCAGCTCAAGTAGGTGATATGCAAACAAAGAATTTTAAATTTGATTATAATGAATAAACATGCCTTCATGATATTTTGACTAAGAAATACATATTCTACGTTTCAAATATGATGCAAACCTTTATTTTTCCTTTCACATATTACGTCACAAAACTAAATTTAGTATACAAATAAAGAATATCTTTCATTTTGTACTATCATATAAATATAAATATTTTATCAAACAACCGCCAACA